TGAATGTTTACAGTGCAATTATTGAAGTTTCACTGTTCCTCTGCTGTGCTACTAAGGGATAGCTGCTCAAGAAAGCACTCTGAGCTTTCCCAATCCAGACATGCCATCCGTAACCTTTCCAAAATGTGATGTCAATGAAACTGCAGCTGGTTAAAGGGCTATGTAGGGCAAAAAGTGGTATTAGTGGCTAATAAAGGCTAATTCTTTTGCAAGCAAAATTAGCTCGCTTCACTAGCTTGTTATGACTTGAAGTGTCTGGCCATTGAACTATGCATCTGGCTCATTTGTTGATCTCAAAGAGATCACACCCTGACTGACAGCTGTAGTGGACTGGAAGAAAGTAGCCCAAATGAGTAAGAACAAGAGGACTTCAGTTTGTGTGACTTTGGGACAGTAGCAATCCTTGCAAACAGCCTTAATAAGCAGAAGAGAAGAACCTGACAAAGAATGTATGTGATACGGATCCTGGCTCAGGGCAGTAATTTTTCCTAAATGACTGGTTCCTAATGCTCTGCTTTGTTGCCTGGAGATGCTGTCTCCCAATCCCAGTATACACAACTACTGAAGAGACACAAATGTCCAGTAGCTGATTACAGCAATCCCAAATAATCTCAAGGGGACTGATTTTGATTAAGTCCCAGAAATTCCTGTGATACTCTGTAGTAATTCAAACTGCACCAGAGTAGCCTAAGCTCTGTGGATGTGTATTTATTTTTAACTTGAGTTGTTTTGGGGTAAACACCACATCAGAGTGCATTTATTATCAAGTTCCTGTTACTGCACAATGTGTCTGTACAGATTCTAAACCCCTTTATCAAAAAGGCTCATTTCCTTTTTTTTTTTTCTTCTTAATCTCACATTGGTTTATCCAGAGCTGTTGTCCCTGACTTCCTTTAACTTGCTCTGCATCAAAGATCTTTTAGTGTCTTCTCTGCATCCTTTCTTTCCTTAGCACATACTTAGAAATGTCTGTGTATACACAAATACATGCGCGTGTTCATGCATATTTTAATCCATTTCTGCTTCAGTCCTGCAGCCTTCTGCCTGGTCAGATCAATCAAGGGCTCTTGGGAAAGGTTAGCGCTGGGGAGCACCAAAGCACGTGTTCCTTTTGTACTTTGAGTGCTTCAGAAAAGTTTTAATGCCTCCTTTATTTGTGCAAAAATTGCTCAAACATTCCCAACTCTCTGATAATGCTACACAGACAAATGTTCATTAAGATCAGAACTGATTACTTTTTCACCATGGTATTTGCAGGTGATTTGAGACTCAGTGTTAATACAGGTCATTGAGATGAAAAGGTTGGTGATGCTGCCTTTTGTGCTGTTAAACCCTCAAATGTTGTTCCTGGATTACAAGTTTATAGACCATATTTTCATACTGATTTACGTTCTTAAGTAAATTCTAGATCTCAAACTTCTCTTCATTATCAAACATAACTTGAGAAAAGGAGACCTTGGACTAATGAATGAGTTTGGCTTCTGCAGTGTGCCTAGGACACTTTTTTTCTCTGGACCACAGACTCCTGTGAAGTGCTGCCACTGACATTCTGGCAGAGGCTGGAACAAGAAAAGGAAATCTCTCCAGAGGAGACCTGTAGGGTCGAACTCATCAGCCCCCAAGTAAGAGAAACCTACTCACCCATAAACATGATGGCTGCAATTGGGCCTTTGCATCTGCATTGTTTTGTTCTGTGTTACATTTTTAGGATTGTGCCGTGGTTTGCAGCTTTGTTGCCCTGAGAGGCTAAGACATGATGAGAGTGGTATGAATGCTCTTTGCTTACTGAGGATTTCAGGAAACAAGATGGAACTCCCAAGATTTTCTCACATCAGAAGAGACTTGTCTTGCAGAGAGAATGTAAAGTCTCTGATCCAGCCCTAGACAGAGACTTAAGCAATGTGTGGAGAGGAGAGAGGAGTTGAACATATAGTGTTTAAGAAATGATAACTTTGTGTGTTTAAACAATAATGAGAATTATAGAAGTGAGATCTTGTGGCAACCCATTTGGTAGAAACAAGAAATGAAGCTAATGGATCCTGAACAAAACATGACAAGCAGTAAAGCATTTGCTGAGATAAGTTTATATCTAGGTTACAATAGAAGTTGGTGCTGCAAAACCCTGTTTGTTTACAGTTACAGTGGCAGAAGTACATCAACACTGTGACCACACTGAGGCTGCAGATGGCAATCACATCTGCTCTGATATTGAGTATGGAAGGATTAGTACCTGGTTAACTGAAAAGGCTAGTAGAGAACTTATGAAGACATTTTGACTTAACTAAGAAGTCAGAATAGTCTGTTTCTTGTTGGATCGGGAGTCAAAAAAAAATAGTAAATTAATGTAGGTTGTTGCCTGTTCCTGTTGCTGTTCCTGTTAGCTTTTACCATTTATCCTTCCCCTCGGTTTGTATCCTGTAACACAACAGATCTCCTGTATGGAGTGCTGTAGATTACAATCTCTTTAATCTTTTTCTTGTTACAGGCTATACTGAAGCCAGTGTTACTACATTTTCCTCTTCTTTTCCTGCTGAAGAAATTCAGCTCTCTTCAAATATTCTTGAGTTTTATTATTACTGCTATTCTTCACTCTTTTTGGTTCTTCTTCAGTACCTCCTTATCAAAGGCCATGCTCAGACCTTTATTTCTTGTACAGTATCCTTGCTTTGTCCTGCTGTAGATCTACATCTCAACTGTTTGTCACCAGCTTTTCTGTCTGTGGTATGGGAAGCTGTTTTGGTATAATAGAAACAAACAACATCCAAACAACAAACCACTGTGCTACACCAGCAGCCTGCAGTGGTGTAGTTGTCCCACTGTTGAACTGATAAAGCCAGCAATGCTGAAGCATTCCTAGTTTTGTGCTTTGGACTCCTTCTCTGAGTTGGTTTCCTGATTTGTCTGATCAGCTTTGTGCTCTGAGAGCAAGCTTCCAAGAAATATGTGTACTTAATTATAATTTGCTCTCTGCGGTCAGCAGGAATATCTTAGCTTTCAGTGTTTCAGCAGTATCTCTACAACTGTTTTTAAGTCTTCACCTGTTCTCCTACAGAACAAGGTTACAATTGGGTTGAATAGATGCAGCATTGATGATTGCATTTATTGTACATGCAGTGAATTCTCCTTTCATTTGCTGCTTCATCTGTCTGTTTTGACTTAAAAAGAGGAAAAAACAAAACAAAACACTTCTACCACTTTCTTTTGGAAAAATAGTATCCACTTCCTGTGGAAATCTTTCACTCCTTCCTTGCCTGTGCATCTAGTGTGTCGCATTAAAGCTGTTACTGAGTTTTAGGCAGAGAAGCAGTTGTCTGTCAAATTGCTTCAAAAGAAACCACAAAATGAGCCGGTCATAAATCCAGAAGGAGCACAAGAGTGGGAATATGAGACCTGCAATATGTAATGTGACTCTTTCAGGCCAACCTCCCCTATTGCCACCCTGGTGCTAAATATACTGCTGGTGTCCTTGCAAGAAACCAAATGCACAGAGCTGGGAAAGGCAGTGGGCAGCATTAGTTTAGGGATTATTTCATTTCTGTAAATTTCCTTGATGATACACTAAAAAGAGAGTAGCTAAATTCTCCTAATTGTTTATTTGCGACTACGGTGGTGAGGTTTCACAAATATCAGATCATCTTAATCAAATGTCTAATTTTTAATCTAGCATTTTAATTTTTAAGGAGATTTTTGTTAAGAATTGTCTTTGTAAAAAAAATCCAGATACTTATCTTGCTCTCCAGGAATTCCTTTTTTTAGATTAAGATAAGTGAAATCTGCATTTGCAGTTCATGAATAAGTGTTGTAAGGTAGGAAGGTTATTTCAAAGAGTTTAGCTTGCCTGTGGCATTTGTATTAGATAAGTGATAAGTCAACTCTATGTTGTATTGCATTTTACACAGCATGCAGATAACCAACCTAGTGAGTCCTGGAATGAACCTTTCCCTACTGTTGGTGAGCTGGTGTTTTGAACTTTCTAACTTCAGGAGATGTAAGGAAAAGTAATATTGAAAAACACAGATTTAGGTTAACTTGAAATTAATTTAAAAAATCCATATGAATTCTTATTGTATATATAAAATTGTATATAAAAATAGTAGGTGAACTTTGAAGCGCAGTTAGCAGCTTTTCCAGATTTCATGTTTTTCACTCATCTCTATTTTTTCTGTCCAGTTTAATAATTATGCTTTGTTGTTTCCAAACTGAATTTTTAGGAAAATGTGTAATTTTTATGATTTTCTAGTTTGTACCTTTAGTGCTACTGATGCCGTACAGGAAGGCCATCCAGGATTGTGATCAGCACCTCTTTAGAATTTTTAGCTTCCTTTTCACTGATGATAGAGACTCGCTTTGAGCTTTCACATCTAACTCTCCTTTGAACTTGCAACAAATTCCCTCAAATACTTTGATATAGCATTGCAGCACACTTTTCATGATCTCTCTCTATCTTGCTGTTCAGCAAATAGTTCAAGTGTCTTCTTTCAGCTTTTTTTTTTTTTTTCCCACAGAATTTTCTAGTTACTCCATTGGTAAATGAAGTATTTAATGGCTTCTAAAAATTAAATGTTGGATACAAGTTGATTGCGAAATTGGGTAGATTTTATTAATGTGACTTATTTCAGTGTTTTGAACACATAGTAAGTTTCACTAAGTTATCGTGAGTAACAGTTTTTATATCTTGTTTTTAAAAGACTTGTAGCCCCATCCCAATGCATGTGGATTCCTCATGTCTGAATTTGATGCCAATCCCAGGGCAAGGACCTGCAAGTGGTGCCACGCTGTGGGTTATGGCTTGCATGTGGGAGCACTCATGTCAGGTTGTGCCTCATGTGCCCCATCCTCTCCGGAACCACAGCGTCGAGGGACAGTGAAAGGACCAGTGGAGCGTCCCTCTCCCTTGCCACTGCAGGGGACAAGACTTGTTTATGAAACTAGAGAGGCTCTATGAAATTTGCAACTTCTATGAAATTGCCATTCAGCTTTTTGCTGATTTTCCATTCTAGGCCTTACAATGAAATTACTGCTGGATGAACCCAGAGAATCACCTTGTGGTTTTGAATTAGAGTTTCTCCAACTACAAACTTGAGAGGTAAGAGTTAAATTATTTTGAGATACTGAGATGGAAAGAACCATGATTATTACAGCTGTACAGCTTTCTGTTAATGTCAGAAAGGGACACGCTATGGTCTTGCTTTCAGAAAGAATCGAATGCTGTGAAACTAGCGGGAGTGTAACAATAGCATGAGGAATGCTGGTAAAATACCAGCATGACATGGCTTGAATTAGAAATATTGTATATTTGCCACATGTTAGAAGCCACTAACTGCAGTGGCTACTGTAACTGATTAAGAATTGTATGGGAATCTGCTTTCAATATCTGTGCTTTAAAAATATCTTGGAATGTAATACTGGAAAATATATTTCCTGAAGTCTGCCTCAACACCATTTTGTCACTGACTGATTTCTGGTTTTGTTCTTTTTTCTTTTTTCTTTTTTTTCTTTTCTTTTTTTTTATTATTATTATTTTTACTGCAGATTCTTCATTTTCTTTTCCAAAGAGCTAACATTATCAGAGATTACATGCTGAAGATCAGCTGATAAAACATTAGGTTTTTTTTTTTTTTTTTTTTTTTTTTAACTATATCTCCTGGGTCTGTACTTGAAGTGCCTTGAAACTTAAACTCAGCCTGAGTAAAGCTTAGTGAATGCTTTAAATTATTATCCTCTACTTAGTACTAAGGAAAGGAATACTGTAGTTCCAAAAGTATAATCATGGTTACTTTTCTTTGGTAGGGACTTGACCAGCATTAACTCACTGATACTGTCATTTCTACCCTGTGGGTTTGAAAGGTCAATGAGAAGATTCCTGTGTACCACAGAGAAGAGTAAGATAGCAATAGATCTGTGAATATAAGTTACATCTCTGACACAGATTTCTTCCACAGTGTAGAACAAATTTATTTCCCATATTTTTTAGCCTACTCATCAGCTATATAAAACCTCTGAGGTGTATATGCTCACAAAATACTCTAAAGCAGCAAGGTGAAAGTTTAAAAATCCTTTAAAAATTTTTTTGGTGAGGCCTCAGCCTCCCTCTGGAGTTGTCTGTATTTTTACCATAGACTTAAATCGTTCAGAGTTAGGTTTAGACCATAGGACATAGCTTGTTGCACCTTTATCTGCATTCCGGACACCTCCTTCCTCCTGGGATACTCAACAATGGATAGCTGTTGAGTGCTTTGTGTAACATGGTTAACATAATCTTCTGTAACTTTGCAATGTAAAACTTGTCCCCAAAATTCTTCAGCCAGTTTCCAGACCCTTCTTTAGCTTCCCAAAATGTCTCCTTTTCAGTAGCTTTTCATCATGCTAATTCATAGCCCATTGCTCCTTTTCTCACACTGTCTTTATTCCCCCTAAAACAAATCTCTCCTTCCCTGGCCTTACTTAACTGTCTTGTAGAGCTTACAGACAGGCCATCCTCTGAATTCAATGGCGTTAACACTTACTGACCTACTGTGTCATTTCTTGAGAATCATGAGAGTTAGTCTGACTGTTGACTCAACTATGAGCGTTGTTATTTTTGCAACATGGATATTTTTCAGCTCTAGGAGCTTTTATGTTTTCTGTATGAGTCTACAGAATCATCAAGTCTAGCATTGTATACAACATAATCCACGCAAATAAATATAATAAGCAGAAAAAATGTCAGTTACTTATGGTCATTTATGGCCATCAGCTGAAATACACTGTAAACTAGTTTTAGATATTTTGTTGAAAAAAAACTGATCTTAAATCTTGACCAGTGTCAGAATGTTGATAGCAAGCTTGCAAAGTAAGACCTACAATATGATGTCAAGAGAATTAATCATGTTAATTCCAGGAAATTTAAAGTGACACCTCTCTTTGTCCACAATAGAAGGGAAACTAAAAAGAGGCAATGTTTGATTATACTCATTAGTTAACAACAAAGAAAAAAAGAAAGAAAAGTGGCCCTAAGCATTGTGAGAGGAAAATTAGGATTATATATCAGGGAACTACTAGCCAAGGAAAGCAGCTGCCAACTGAAGCTTTGGAATCAGCAGCACTGAAGATATTCAGAGCTAGGCTAGACGTCCATCTATGAAAATGGGATAAAGAAATCAGTCCAAACACAATGTAGGGATAATCCAACAGAGTGCTCTGCCAAATTTCTACCCCAAATAGTGTATGATTTAGTTGTAATAGAAAAGGAAGGCATTTCTGCTTGCTATATCTTTCACTGTTTTAATCTTAAAAGCAAAAATTCTTTTTTTTTTTTTTTTAAAAAAAAACAAAACAAAACAAAACAAAACAAAAAAACAAAAACCAGAACTTACTGTTAATAACTTTTTTTATTTTTTACTTCAGGAGCGTTTAGGCTTTGCTGTGGTTTCCAGACACACTGATCCTAGCTTAGACTGTTGTTACATTTTTTCAAAATTAATATGTGTATATATATACACACAAATATATATATACGCACACACACATATAATAAAAAATAGGTCTTAGAATGAAAAATTGTTTCACAATGTCTTTTCATAGGAGTTTTCTGGAGATTGTCAAATCATTCATACCAAGCCTGAGGAAAGACTGTCAGAAGGATATTTATTTGTTAGAGGTATGTAGGATAGTAAGACTGGAGGGCTAGGATGGTTATAATGGTGTGGTTAGGTGTTTAGCCTATGTCACAAGTTCAAATAGAGGCCAAGAGGGATATTCGTCATTCATTACTACTGAATTATTATTGAAATGGGTGGTGACCTACTCCTAGTGGCCAGGCAGGTAGCAGTGCAGTATTCAATACCAAAGTGAGCTGGCAGGCTAGCACTCAGGAAGAGCTGGGGTCCAGGTTTTTAGGGGTGTCTATCCCTTTAATATACAAGAAGTTGCCTACTGCGGTTTTGGACAGTTTGAAGGTGCTCACCTGAGACTGCAGTTAAGTGGAGTTTCACGTAGCTAAGATCTTTAGAGGCTAGGTAGACTTTTGTCTGGAGCATTGAGCACCTTTAAAATTACAGCCTAGAATCCTCAAGACGTTTTCAATGAAAACTGGTTCACCATTTTTCAGTGCAACCTTAATAAGCCTCTTTTTTCCTCATTGTTTAACACAGCACATACTGTGAATGAAGAGAGATGACAGTTTACTTGTTTTCAAGTATTTTTCAAGTATGCTGCTGCAGGCATAGTCTCCTTTCACAGCAATGTCTTCCAGTACAGGAGTCATATCACAGATAACAGACTAGTACAGAGATGGAGCAGATAACAGTTTTAAAGAAGCTATTTCAGACATAGAATTAGTTTTTAAATAACAAACTGATCTTCAGATTGAGTAGCAATTTTCTGTAGATATGTGGCATATAGAATTTAACCACTGTAACCACAGTACTGTCTGTACCTTGCATTTCCTTATTTATACTGTAAATATTAGTGCTAGCTTCTAAGAAATGCCAGAATAGATCAAGGATGACTCTTTGCAAAAGCAAGCCTGCCACATTGTCACTGTGTTCTGAAGACATATCACGTGGTGGGAGGGAAGTATGAATATCTGCTATCTGATGTATACAATTGAAAAGGGAAAACACAGAATGAAATCATCAAGCCACATTAGCCAAAGTGAACAGATAAGAGAGGGTATAACACTGGAATTGTAAACAATTGAGCCAAGATTACATTTCCATGTATAACAGTGTGCACCTTTAGATGTGGAAACAAAAATGTTAATACTAGTGGCTTATCACTGGAAACGTTCAAAATGCTTCAAGGATGGGCCTATAATAGTTATGTGTATAACCCTCCCTCCCCTGCTATTTTGTGTACTGTTTGAGATTGTTCTCTAAGTAACTCAGGCCGGAAAATGAAACTCAACTGACCTCCATTCAGACTCATGCCCATGTGTTTGCTCTCTGCCCCCACACCCTGCTTCCTCTGCTGTGCCATAAGCACTTTGTATCACCACTGGCTAGCTCCAGCTTTCCCTTTCTTTCTCCTGCCCACCTTGGATCCCAGCACCCTTCACGGCCACAGCACAAAGAGTCGCATACATGTGCTGCTCACAGTCTCTGTCTTCCTCCTGTTGGTGAAACCACATGTGCTCAACGTTGTAAATAAAGGTGTCAGATAAAATGCGAGAAATGTGGCAGAAGCTCTATTTCCCTCATTCCTTCCCCCTCTACCACCAAGAGAGGAAACCACAATGACAGGAAGAGCACAGTGTTTCTTCCCAAGGACACTCATTTCTGCAGTCAGTAGCTCACGTTTACCCAGATTTTGCTTTCTGTGTTGATAGACATTGAGCTTAGCAAAATATGAGCCCTACTTGGACATTTAAAGTCAGTCGAGTAGGACATTTTGGTGGAGAAAACAGTCAAGTCGGCTACCACATAATGGGAGCTTTTATAGTCTACCATTCAGGCAGGGCTGCTGAGCCAGCTCACAGTAAGAATGTGCAAGTTGTGCTGTTTTTACTTGCTACTGGTCTAGCATTGACCTGTTTGGAATAACTCATTCATTCTTGCATACACATGTATACACCTCTCAACAAGATTTTGGGTGGATTTTCTGAAGCTGATGGTTTTCTCAGAAGACTTTGCCTGTGGTGAGCACACTTCATTACCCTTGTTGTGCCACTTCATAACTTCTTGTTAACTTTTTATATTTTACCCACTATTCCAGTGCAGTGTTTTTTATTCCCTGGTTTTCAGCCACCACCCTTGTCCATTTTTCACTCTTTCTAGCTTGCATGCAGACACCATCTGGCATTACCCCCAGGGTTTCCTAGACAAGGGCAATCTAGTTAGCCTTGTGAAATTCAAACCCCAGGCAAAACAAAAACTGCATAAAACACCATAAGATACTTTTTCTCACTTCTGTATGAGGAGCAACTACATTACTCAGGGCAACTGTAAGAACAGAAATTTCATCTCAAAATGAGTTATCCTCTCAACCAACCTATTCTTTCCCCCAAAGTTTTCATTTCAATTTAATTGAGTTACTACAACTCTTTTCCAGTCAAGCGAAAGTTTGACCAGCTTGTGTGTAATTACATGGCTTCAGAGTAAAATATCATGTAAGGAACTGTCTGTAACAATGCCTGAAATAAAGTAGATTGGGAACAGATTTAGTAAAGAAATTAGGAAGTCATTCCAGCTCTCTTTTCTTTTAGAAATAACATATTGCAAATAAAATCTCTGAGGCAAGATTCTGGACAAAGACATTCTTTTGAAAAGAGACCACAAGATTCCTGGTTTTCTTAATGGATAAAGCAGAAAGAATTGGTCTCAGTCTGGGACACTCAAAATGCTGATCCTTTTGAACAATGTGGACAAGTACAGAATATTGTCCAATGTATTCATCCTTGAGGAGAAATAAACAAAATTTGTGTGCTGACTGTCTCATAGGAGTTGAAAAAGAGCCCCTCCCTTTCTTTTTTATGTTTGCATGTTTTCAGAGTTTCCAAAGGAATTCATTTGGGCCAAGCATTTTGAGCAGTATATCTGATTTTCTCTGAAAAATGATGATCTAGTTGCACAGTTGTGAGGTTTGGGGCCAGAGATTCTATTATTTATAGCTTTAAGAATTTGAAATCAGTATGGAGCTGTGTACCTACACTGGTGTAATTCCCTATTGCTGGCTTCAGAGTAAAGACTGAGGTGAATTCTCTATGACAAAGTAGGCTTCTGAACTATAAATACTTATTTCTGACTTTTCAAGTTTGTTATATTTTGCTCTCTCTTCTGACTTCACAGTTACTTTACTGTTGTGTGTTTTCACAGGAAAAATTCATATTGTGGCCTCGCTCTGACAGCATTGGGGCAGTGATATGATGAAGACAAGCAAATTTTCCATGGCTGTATACCATGGAAAGGTAAAATGTAGCTGGCCACTTCCTCAGTTTGGCAGTCACAAGTATGTGAAAAGAAGGTATGTGCAGCAATATTTGGGGAACATTGATACAAAACATCAATTTTCAACCTCGTTATATGTCCTATGACAAGCAACATATACGGTGGCCTGTTGTCAGTTTGATTGCAAATGCATGACGTTTAGATGATCCTATAAGATGCAGGTGACAGATATCAGTCATATGTCAACTTTTGCTTTGCAGTGATCCTTGGTGAAAACTTCATTTTGTTTTTGTAAGCCTGCCTTGATGGTATATGGTAGGTTTATATTTTGCCAAGATCAAAAGACCAGAAGTAGACGGGCTAATGTTAGCAGGGGAGGCGGTGTCTGAAATTAATTACACAGCTAGAATTTTGCAGCCTGGAACTGAGTTTTTGTTGCTCTGTAAACTTCTAAAATGGTTCCCTTTTCTATGGTGTATGGAGAAATATCTAGCTGGTTGAAAATGTTGCGTCAGTCAAAAGACACAGTTATTTATCAACAGTCTCAGAATGGTTAACTTTTTTAAAGAGTGTGAGATGTAAATCACCAATCTCTGCTTTTAATGCATGGGTTCCTTTTCAGTCCTAAGGAGTTTGGAGCAGGAGACCACAACATGTTTGAAGTAATTTTGATGTCCCTTTTGCATATTCCCAAGGTATCTAAGATGTGGCTAATAATAATAGCAGGTGTTGTCTTTTTCTCTCAGCATGTGGCATGAAAGTAGTGTGGCCACAGAGCTATGCATTATTTACATGGTGTCAACATGTCAGCAAGTGGGATGGCAGAGAGCCAGGTTAAATCACTTCAGATTTTAAACACAGGACACCGAATAATAACAGTGTCACACTCGAGGACACAAGAATCTGGCAAATCAGCAGTAGAACAGTGTGCCAAGTTCATTTGAATGGCTTTTTTTTTTTTTTCTTTTTTCCCCCCACTGAATGATGAAGGAATAAAAATTGAGAGCCAAGAAAAAGTAATTGGTGTTTTTTTTTTTTTTTTTTTTTTTTTTTTTTCTTCTTTTTTATTTTTTTTTCCCTAAAGTAGAAAATTGTATTCAGAAAAGAACTTTCTTTGATTACTTAATATGAAGATGCATGGATTTCTGCCCTTCATCCAGGGGTGTCTACTCCTGACAATGCACAACCACACTATGGTGCATCTGTCAGCCCTTTGTCTTTGTTTCCATAAATGGTAATTCTATTTGATCTTTTTACGTTCTTCCATTAGCTTTTTGAAGAAGGTAACGCAACAGGTCCGCAATCAACCAATGGGCCCCGTAAATATATTTGTAAAAGGCAGTTACGTTATTTAGAATGGGTGCTTTAAGGGTTTGAGGCTTCAAGTGAATGTGAGGTGAATGGAGCACATTTAGGAAGGCTGCTCTCAGCCATTACTACTTTTGCAGCAGCTCTGATATCTGTATCACCCCTACGACTTGTTCACCTTACCAGCTTGCAGAAAGCTAGCTCAGCATAAATAAAAAATGGATGGTGTTCTGTTGGTTTAGTAATCCAACCAGGCTCACTCGAGGGCCACATAAAAGTCAGAGAGGATGGAATAGAGGCCTGCATGCCAGAGGATGTGGGGAAAAGTGAAGGCAGCAGGGCTGCTGGCTGAATTCAGCCATACTTCACTCTAGAATGCTTAATGCACAAGGAGGGGCTGATGGAAGATTAAAAGAAGCATCCAAAATACTGGGATTCATTTATCTCATCACCGTAATACCCTTTTTATGAAACTAGAGCTGTTTATTCTCATAAAACCCTTTTGCTTTTCTAATTTTAAGGGACAATGCAACCATTGGAATCCATGCACAGTTTTTTCATGTTAAATGCTTAGTTCAACATTCCACTTCCATTTCCTGGTAGAAAATGTTTTATGTGAAAGCAACTTTAACCTTTCAAAAGGGTTCATTTACTGTTACGTTTAGTATCAACTTTCCAAAAAATGCAGTCTGCATTTGGCATATTATGGTTTCTGGTTTTAATATTGGTTTAGGAAAAAAGAGTCATGTGCCATAAGTCAGAAATAAAATATAGCACCAGAATTCTCTCTATATGTGAATTCACCCCATGAGCAAATGGTTTAAAGTAAGTCCGATCACTTAAAGCCAAGACTTGGGCTCAATCTAACCATGAACCAGCTGGTAACAAATAACACATTCAACTCTCAGCCACAGGAAACTGTTAGGTTGCCTTTTTACAGACGACTACAGCTCTAAAGCTCCAGAAGCACGAAGGAATATCATACGGACTTGGAAAGTGTTGAACACCTACCATATGCACATAAAGAAGGGTAATAAAGATAAAAGGCCTGAACAGAGCTTTAATTCCTAAATTTCTGCTTTTGATTTATCAGCTACTTCTGCATTGCCATGATTTTCTTTGGCCTAAGATTACGTAGAAGATGCTTGATCAAATCAGTCAAACTCGGGCTTCCCGCTGTGAATCCAACAGATGATAAATATAAACTTGTGAGTACTTTCTTGCTTTCTTTTCAGCATTTTTGTGCATTCATTTCTGAAGTGTTGACTGTGGTAACAATGCACTGCAGTAGACAGTTCCTGACTGTCTGTCCCTGCTGGGATGATGCTGCTGACATGGCGAGAGGGATGCTGAGTTAGAAGAGCTGCATCAGAATGGCTCTGAATTTGAGCTAGGGCTGACATGGTTGGGTGCAGTACCATAAAGACATGGCTGAGACACTCTGTGGACCTTTACAGCACCTTTGCATAATGCTGCAGTGTGCTGTGTGACCATCTCAGCTGCCAGGTTCGTCTAGGAGTCTCTGTGTTCTATTGCAATGTTTGGAGATATTCTGAGAATTACAGTTCAACAGGACTTCTGCCATCACTAAGCACCTCTTGCAGAAATATAGTGCCTTCATAGAGGCCTAGCCATGAGTGAGACAATAAAGACTAATTCTCAGTGCTGCTGAGCTTCAGTTTCTAATAAAGGACTCAGAACTTGTAAGGGTAAAGCTTCAAAGTGCATATCGATTTACAGGGGGAGGGCAGATAAGAGGGTTGTAGCCCACCCATTAAGTCCACCTGGTCTTAATATATGATAGCAGTCAGTCTTTGCGCGACACACTCTTTCCATATCCTACTTTGGAAATCTCACTCCCTGTAACAAGAACTGGGTTGACAGTGTGCTTATCAAAGTTGGGTACACTACAGAGCCTAAGTCTTTCAGTCATACATAATAGTTTTATCACCCCTTGAACTGCAGCAGCTAAGTCTGACATTGATGGTGAAGCAGACCCTTAGAAAAATAATATTTATGACATTTAGTAACAGTAATCTTTTCTGATGATGAGTGCACGTCCAATGCTTTGAAGATGTAAAAGTCTGCAAAAATGCAAATTATTATTTTATCTGGAAATGTGTTTTGTGGTATCCCAAAAAGTACTCTCATTTTTTATTCTTTTTTTCATGCGTGTGCAGGAGTTCTCATGAATTTTCAGCCATGAGTCCATCTGGGAATAATTCCACTGAGAGAAGAAGGCTTCCATTCTATCAAGAAAAAAGGCTGCATGGAAATCATGGAAAGCTACAGAAAAAAGTATCAGTCATTGTTTAAAAGCACTGTGGCCTGTGAAGATGGAAACCAGAATGGGAATTTGTTTCCAAATTTTATAAGCTTCTAGAAACTAAAATGATGAGAAACAAATGCAAAAAGTTCGCAGAAGTACCAGTTACTTAAAAAAAAATCTTAAGTCCTTATTCTTTTATGATGAATAAAACTGATTAGAAGGATATTAATTAACCAGAATTATAGCCATCATTTAAACAGGTAGAGATATTCCTAGTATGTTTGGGTTGCCAACTGGATTAGTTTTATACTTCTCAGTTGCTAACAATGAAGTTATCAGCCACTGGAACAAATTATTGAGAGGAACAGTGAGCTTACCATTTCTTCAAGTCTTCAAACTGAGAGTGAATGGTATGCTTTAGCAAACAATGGAGACACAGCTGGGTGAAATTATATGGTTGTACTAAAGAACAGGAAACGTGAGATGTTCTATGTGGTCCTTTCTAGCCTTAAGAGCTATAGATCTATAATTTCACAAATACCATTACAAAGAATTCCTTAGAAGTAGTGATGACCACAGCAATAATGTGAATCCCTCTCCTGATTTGGGGTAGATTATTCTAAAGAATTTTGAAAAATTACAGGCTACGGGACTGTTGCTATGTGGTACTGTCATTACAAGGTTGTGTAACTAGCATAAAGGGGGCACTTTGTAATTTTACAGTATTAGAAATCCCTTTTTGTGGACTAAAGAGACCCTTCTTCTCTCCAAAAGAGCTCATTGTACTTCAGTTCATGAATGAGTGTATAAACAAGTAAGCATGTGTACTGCTTTCCTATGTGATGCATTTCTCTCACTAAAATGTGTTAGATTCACTTAGTGAAAAAAAACATATCCACAGAGGAAATTATAAGATATTGCTAATTAACATGGGCTATTTCTAAGCTAAACTAATTTTCTTCTTGTAGGCTGACCTGAAGCAAAGAGAACGCTTTGCCATAGCCAGTCTTCCACTTGAGGACAGCTAAATCATTGTTTTCCATATTTCCAGCAACCTTTGGCATTTGTCACTGTCAAAACTTAAATACAGTGGAATATTTGGAAATTTGGGAAAGGAATGTATAACTGACTGAACAATTGGACATGAAAAGAAATGGTTCTTCAGATTTAGAAAGATGAATAAATTAATTGACTACATGTTTAAAAGGAAGACTGTGTAATTTCATGCTGACTCTCAAACACCATCCTTTCAGATCCATCTTTAACATCCGATTTAAAATAAACATAAATAAAATGAAATATATAATAAATAAATAAATAAAATAAAACAAAGAAAACCACTGCCACCACCAACAAAAATCCCAAAACAACCCCCAGAACTGTAGCCTATGCTATAAAAGACTATGAGTGTATGAACAGCATATCTTATTGTCAGAAATCACAATGGTCACAAAAGGTATTCATTCAGAATGGTTAAACTATCTCATAAGTCATAAGAGGAAATAACTTTTCTGACAGTATGACTTTCATCCAGAAGGATGGGTTTGGCAGTGTAGCTGAGACATCTGGGTTGTCCAAACTAATGCTAGAAAAAATGTAGTGATGTAGCTTTTCAAATGGTGACAGGGGAAACTGATGATCTAGTGTCCAAAATGGATATGCATAATTCCAGATGCAGATTCTTGGATTTTAGATTGTAGTTAATGGTTAGTAACCTTTTTTTCTATCCGTATAACTGTTGTTCTCAAATATATGCACATTGTGCCTTAATAACTACCTCTACTGTTCCTCAGTTAGGGTGCTGTCTTCAAGACATGCTTTTGCCAAATGCCTCTCAGGTAAGGGTAGGAGCTGATCACACTATGAGAGAAAATCAGAAATCTGATCATTTGTTGAATGCAGGAATTAGTTTATTTTATCAAGCACTCTTTTATTGAGTTTCCTAAATTTATGACTCATGCATATTCAAATTAATTCAGCTTTTTCTTGCTACCATGTTTCATACTCTGGGGAAAAGATGTTTGGAAAAGCTGGATGCTATAAAAGGGGTGTTAGCTCTCTTAACTTCTCTTAAGCTTTTCAAATATATTATCCTTTACATTTTCTTTCACCTGGTTTATTCTAACAGGCTTACCATCAACAGTGACTATCTTATTTGCCATGCACAGGCCATGTTAAAATACAGGTGCGTATATTTAATACATTAATTTCATGAGTGTAAAAGAGCAATTTTAGTTTGACTTGTTTGAAGAAACTCAGTTTTAGTCCCTTAGAGATAATCTGAGTAGATCTGTTTTAAAATATACACTGTGGAGAATAAGGATACATTTGCACATTTAAAAGTTTGAAGGTCTGAACTATACTTCTATTCACCAAGGTGGTTCTCAAAAGTTACTTCTGAGCCACATAGCAAGGAAAATAGAATAAGATTGATCTGCTAATTATGTTCCCTTTGTTGTGTGGATACACAGAGAACAGTTTTCTCATCCCGCAAAGGTTCTGTTGATCTTGAAATTTTAGGCCTGGCATGGAGCTCAGTGACTTAAGAAACAAGCAAGCATATTATGTCATCATAATGTTCTTTTTTTTTTTTTTTTTTCCTTTTTTAAAATTCCTTTTAACATAAACTAAATTGAATTTCAACAGAAGATGCTTTTAACCACAAACCCAAGCCTTTTTTTTTTTTTTTTTTTTGTATTTAAGATGTTGAAATGGCACAGTTCTAGAATTTCAAAGCCTTTTTTTTTTTTTTTTTCCAAACGTTTTTGAGGACAGGAAGTTCTGGAAATAATTTCAGTTTTTATGAATTTTCATTTGTGTCCATCTCTCTTCTTTCCCTTTTGAGAGCCTTATTTTCATGTTGGTGAGAGTATTGACAGTTAAATCGGAGTTCTTTTCTATATGATGAAAGACTGAGAGACCTGGGTCTGTTCAGTCTGGAGAAGACTGAGAGGAGGATCTTATTATTGGTGTTTATAAATATCTAAAGTGCTGGATAAAGTGCTGCATATCTAAATGGATGGGACCAGGCTCTTTTCTATGGTGTACAGTGATAGGACAAGGGGTAACAGGCAAAAACTGGAATACAGAGATTTCCATACAGACATGAGGAAAAATTTCTTTGCTTTGAGGGTAACAGAGCACTGGAACAAGAAGCTGCCCAGGCTGGTTACAGAGTCTCCTTTCCCAGAGGTATTTGAAACCTGCCTGGATGCTTGCTTGTTCAACCTACTGTAGGGAATCTACTTTAGCAGGGGATTGGAGTAGATGATATCCAGAGGTCCCTTCCAACCCCAACATTTCTGTCATTCCACTACAAGTACTTTAGATTGTAATTGTTCTGTGTTTTGTTTTTCTATATTTTACATACTCTTTCATTTCAATTATTCATTCACAGTTAATAAACAAGTAGATAGGAGTAGTAATTTTATTAGCTCATTGAGCCCCTTTTCTTTACATCTATCTGGAAGAATAATTCACTGTCACTGATGAACTGACTGTGTTGATGGGACAAAATCTGATGCCTTCAAGAAACGATTGTTAATTAACCTTCCTTAAAATGTCTGGTAAAGGATGCTGGATTTTTATTTTTTTAATGGCAGTACTTGTACATGGTTGCAGTACACTGGAAACAAATGCTTTTTGTGATTTGTCTGAATGGATAACCTGTTCTGCTGAGAAGAAACTAATGCACAAGCTACCTTGCAGCTGGTGATGAGACCTCAATAGCTAAACAGAAGCACCAAGGTTTGGGTAAGTTCTTCACAAATACTACCAAATTATTCTACTGAAAGTCTCTATGAGAAAAGAATTACAAATCAAGTTATTTAAGAGCTCTGAAAAGCAAGGTTGATTCATAAGTACTGAGTAACGTTAAATAAGGAAGTTAAAAAATAAGCGAGAAGAAATTTTTCTCTTTACTAAAACTAAGAAAGCCTGTTTCAGCAGTTTCTTCCTTTCTCCATTCCAGCTGAATATTATTGTAAAAGGTCTACCAATTCAGAAAGCAAACGTTAGCTTATATATGAAAAGAATATTGACAATTACAACAGCTTATATCTCATAATTCCATAGTTTGGTAGTAGGGTTTTATTTTATCCAGAAAAGTTGCATGATCTACTACATTTCTACAGGCGTTGTACAGCTTTAGTGTGTCAAGTCCATGGCAGAATTGACAGACCCTCATGTCCCTGCCTGACCACTCAGGGTTCCCATGCTTGACCTAGGCTTAGGGCCCCAGCTCAGCCCATGTCCTGTCAGCCACTACCCCAGTGAAGCTGCAGCAGTGTCAGGCTCCAGCTCCCCACTGCTCTGCTCAACCATGGGACCCAGTAGCCAGGCCAAGTCCTGGCTTCCCTGCATGGGAAAGTGCTTGGGGCTGGGACTGCCCCAGTACTGTGCTTCTGGTTGGGGAGGTGGGATATGGGACAGCCCCTGGCTGGTGAGGGCCAATCTTAGCAGACCCTAGGGATCCTGATGTAGAGTTATTTGGTAAGCCCCTGCCACCTAAATTGTCTGAAGTTGTTGTTGTGTCCAGACATAGCATACAGTCATATTTCTAAAAATATTTATGAGGCAATATTGGCCTCCAGAAGGAAAGGTCTCCTCATGGTAGAGAAGCTGTGTTTCACCAGAAAGTTTTCCTGATGAAAACAAATGCTGGAATCTGTCTGTTACCTTCATCACGGGATGTTCCCTGAGTTGAATGACACTGTGATGTGTTGTATCACAAAAATGCAGGTGAATCAAAAAGGAATTTTTCAGTTATCAGCTTTCTAAAATGAAGTGCAGGTTCATAGCTTTTCTGCCCTGAAAATAATTGTCACTTTATGCTTAGCTGGGGAATAGCTGAGGTCTTCTAATACAGATGTTGCCTTTATATAATAGCTTATATCACAACTCTTCTATCACAAACAGTGAAAGTTGTGGGAGGATGCCTGATTTTACTGGGTCTTAAAATCATAAAATTACTGAGGTTGGAGAATACCTCTATGATCATCCAGTCCAACCATCCACTTACCACCACTGTTGCCCACTAAACCCTGTGCCTAAGTACCACATCTCTACATTTCTTGAACACCTCTAGGGACAGTGACTCCACCACTCCCCTGGGCAGCCTGTTCCAGCACTGTACTCACAGAATTCTCCAGTCTGTAGCTCAGATTGTATTAAGGATACACTTAAACATACATATATATATATGAATAGATAATTCTATAGCTTTCTTTCATCTTCTTTTGAAATGCAAAGTCCTGAAAGCATAGCAAATAGTCTGAAGTCTATCTGGAAAGTGATTAACTCTACCACTGGGATCAGACATGCTCTTTGCTAGACAGAGGAGGGGAAGTAGATACTCTCAATTTCAGCGTGTCTATATATATACCACGTATTACCAGTAGTACTCTTGTAAACAGGAGGAATTAGCAGCAGCCTCAGCAAAGTATCAGCTCTACTCTGTAGGCTCACAGACAGATGGTGCTTCGCAATGCGTCTCTTTTCAACTGAAAGTTCTGAAAGAAGCCTCTCTTTTTCCTTCCAGCATAGGAAACCTCTTATATTTCTTGTGTCAAGACCTCATTTAGCAGCCACTTGTAATGCAAAATGGCAGCCCACAAATTACAGCTAGTGGGATATCCAGTTAGATGTGTCTTATATCCAGCGCTGTTCTGAAAGAAGTGTCTCCTATTTGATAACATTGGACCACAATGTCAGGGGAAAATGTTGGTGGTACAGCAGCAGAGGCTGAACCTTCCCACCAACATTCCGTTGCACTTTGTTGCCATGTGACAGAGGGCAGCAGAGGGGCAGTCTAACATAATGACATGGAAGTGCAATATGAAGCAAAGGTGTGTCACTGAATTCCTCCATGTGGAATAAATAGCAACTGCTGACTTTCATGACTCTTGCTGAGTATTTGTGGAGACCGAACAATGGACATAAGGACAGCGAGGTGGTGGTTGGTGCACTTCAGCAGTGGCAACAGTGACAGTGGGTCACCTCCATTGGTGCAGATTTTTATGAGCATGGCATTCAGATTCTTGTTCTTCTCTGGTGCAAATGCATAGCTAATGGTAGTGACTGTGTTGAAAAGAATGTTTTAAGCTGAGAATTTGCTCAATCAAATAGTGTTATTATGCTCTTTGTATTGGTTGTAGTTTCTGTGGAAATAAATAGGAAGCATTATTTTCAGAGCAGCCTATGTATTATGAAAATTAAATGTCTGCATGTAACAGTGCGCTCTGGGTTTCATCCCTCACTGTCTGTATTAGTCAGTTACACTCTTCTGCTCTCTGGTTCATTATGTATTGTTTCAAAACCTAAATTTGATGCTTAGCATCACTGGTATGTTTGGACTGACATAGCACTTGTGCATCATAATAGGGATCAAAGGAGAGATTTTTGTCAATGCAGTAAGGAGCAACAGGGACTCTGTCCAGGGAGGTGGTAGAGTCACCGACCCTGGAGGTGTTCAAAGACTGTTTGGATTTTGTGTTGAGTGATATGGTTTAGTGAGAACTATTGGTGATAGGTGGATGGTTGGACTGGATGATCTTGTAGGCCTTTTCCATCCTTGGTGTTTCTGTGATTCTGTGATACCTTTTACTCTTGGAATGGAGGCAGGATGGTGAATTATGGGGAGTAGTTTTCTGTTAGGCACTATTTGCAGCTGAATGCAGAGGAAAAACTTATATATGCACTAAAAGCTAAACATGAACTCTTTCTGTTTACTGGGTTATTGTGTACTTCATGCTTCAAGAAGTCCCAGCCTTTGTCTTTGGACATTTTTTCTTTTCCGCTTTGCAACTCAACGTCTGTACTTCCACACTTAGATCAGAATAATTTTTTCAACTATTGTCGTCCAAACAAAGGTTGATATTGCCCTAACATTATACCTTAGCTCCTGCCTTCAGCTTAAATTCCTGTAGGATCAGTTTAGTAATTTAACTGAAGGTAGTTGTTGCTTGTTGCATACCTTTGAAGAGCAGCATTGCTGATTTGCAAGAAGAGAAAATTTATTCTGGAACTAGGGTATGTTACTTTTATGTATATTTTGGAAAATTGAAAGGAAATAAGCAACCTTCCATTTCCTTTTCTCCCCACGCAAAGAAATGAAGCCATTTTGGAGAAGGATATTTAAGTTGTGCGGATGGATGGGATTATTTAATAAGTATTTGTTCTTTTTCTTTCATTACATGAGGTTGTGCTTTTCTTGGATCATGCAGATTCTTGTAAAAATGTAACAAGCTACTATTCTGAATGTAGCAAATAAGAAACAGATGGATCTCTTTAAAGAATGGTCTATCAGTAATATTAATGAGAACTCATGTTTAGAGACCAGGCACCTCCCTTTCCTTATGCCAGGCTTCTTAGTTTGAACAAAGAGAATCTTCTAGCACTGACTTGCACATGAAGAAGGAGAAAAATGCGGTCTTGGTTGCCTCAAAATAAAGAACAGCATTTTTTGTCATTTCAAGATCTGAAACCTTCTTGCCTTAGTTGAATTGGCCTTGTGTTGTTCAGTTACCTTGCCTGGTGACGCTCTTCTTGATAAAGTAAGGCTAGCGATATGAATGAATGGCTGCTATGGTGCTTCTACTTCTTCATGAACCGTGGCTCATATCACATGCTGTCTACTCACAAAACCTGACTTAGATAGCTTGCTGATATCTTGCTGAAAGTGAGCCAGCAAACACAGCTTTAGAAATGGCTGGAATATGCCCTTTTAAACTTATTAATCTCATGAATATAATATGCCAGGCCTTGGGCAAGTATCAGAGATACTCTGTGATTCTTGACTGCTCCCAAAGGTGTTATAGCAGAACATGTGATCTGCACAAAAGGTGCTCTTCAGAAAAATCAAGTAATAAGGCTGAGATGTTCCTTTACCAAGTGTATTTTCTTTTACTTGGGGTATTTCCAAAATGGGATGGGTGGGATGTACAGTACTTGTTTGTAGATGGAATGATAACTTAATCTAGATAAAGCACATACATACTGTTATTTTAATAAAAGAAAGTAGGCTTATGTTTAAAAGGGAAATATAATACGATAAACATCCTTTTTGTACTGGTCTGGTTATTTTTTTAAACTTTTGTCGAGTTTGAGGTATTTGCCTTCCAAAATAGAATTTTTGCAACAGTCTGCATGTTTTATAATACCTTTTCCAGTATCTATTGAGTGAGCCAAAGATCTGTGGTCTAGTGGGCATCTCAGTTACAGCTCTTTATTGAGCCTCTAATACATTAGGCTTTAAGTCACACAGACCTTTGTCTTCCAGAGCACAGCTCTTGAGCCTTAAATGTTCAACTTCATCCAAGCTCCAAGGAAAACTCCACAAAATGAATCCAGTCTTACTTTAGTAATGTCCCCAACTCTTGGATGTCCATGATGTTTTGGTTTAACCTAATCAAAGTATGAAGAGCATGAAGAAGAATTTTTTTTTTTTTTAATTTCATTTTGATTTTAAAGCAACCTGGTGATGTGTGGAAAGAACTTACATTTTTGAATTTTAACTCTATTTCCCTTAGAGCATGAAGTCACGTTAGGATGCCCTATTTAGATTTTTCTGACCTTATCATACATCCCTCCTTTAATGCATCTTAGAATGACTTAGAATAACTAAAAATTTGATATTTGCAGTCATATTCTGTAGATGTTATTAGCATTTCTCTCAAATTGTAGTAAGATTACTTGCAGTAAGCATGGTAGAGAACAGTGTGGAGCCAGATACTTGTGCCAGTATCCACATAACC